TTTTGTACGAATTCTTACATGGAAATGGTTTCCCGAAACGTGGTATATATTTGCCCGGTTTTCATTTCGGGTGCTGTTGTTTCTGATTTCAATATAGATTTGTATTCGAAAGTGTTCAAAATATCGAAACATTCTCGATAGTGTATCCAGGCACCCCACGAAGTACAATATACATATATTACTCGTCTAAATTAGGTCAATAGGTATAGCAAACGCACATTGTCTATCGTCCACCTAAAGAAAATAACTTTTGTAAATATATGCAACTATTTTATGAATATGGCTACAGGCCATATGGCACATAAATGTTGAGATGTCTTTTATTTTTCTAAATGTACTATCAACGATGTTGATTAACCTTTGGTAGATGTCTACCAAAATTATTAAGTATTTTGTATGCGTCAAGAAATAAGTAGATATTTGTAGATCAAAAGTGGATATATAATTTTCAAGTACAAGAGACATATATTTATATATGTTGTTCAGATACCTATGATATGTGTTCTGTTGTATATTTACAAAAGACATTTATTTTAGATGAATCGTAGATGATATACGTTTGCTATACCTATTGACCTAATTTAGACGAATAATATACGTATATTGTACTTTGTGCGGTGCCTGGGTAGTTTCGACAGCACCGATAGATGGCGAAGCTTTCTCGCAAATCATGCGGATCGCTTGTTGCATATAAAATACTATCTTATAAGTATATATAATATAAAATACTATAAAATCCGTCCTTAACTGACGCTAAGACATGTATGAATGTCAACAGGTCAAGTATAATAAGTTCTATAAACGTCAATAATTACAACATATTATTTTCGGAACAAGATTTAATTATTAATAGAACTATTCACAAAAGTTAATAATACTATCTAGGCATGTAAAATATACGATGATATATCAGTTACATTAACAATAATAAAGTGAAATTTTACTATATAAATAATAAAAAGATTTGTTATTCTTCCTAAGAAAGTGTAATAAGCGTAGAATAGATCATTTTATTACTCCCAAAAGTTAAAGAAATATAGTAACCGTTTCTAGATTTCCTAGTTCAGAAGAAAGTTAATTTTACTATAAAAAATATCTGAGTACTCTTTGAGCTATAAGAACTATTTAAAAAATAGTTCATTTAACTAGATTTTTCTCTCGGTGTATCGAAGTCATCGATACCAAAAGTACTTGCAATCTGTTGGAATTATAAACCAGAAGATTGAGGTTTATAAATGAAACAAAAACCAATCTATGTTTAATGCGTATAAAGAGAGAGAGAGTCTGACCTGTATTTAGTGGAGGGTTTTCGGTAACGATAAGAACCGTTGTTTGAATTAAGAGGCGACGCAGAGTCGCATCTCCACAAAGAGGGTCCAGAGAAAGAATTTAGTCATCACTGGTCCTGACCGAGATCAGCAGTTGCCGTTTTGTAGTTAGTTCGCTAGAGTGATTGGAGAAGTAAAGATGGGTCCTCCGAGCGTTAAGGGGTATGGCCACGGTAGAATTTTCAAAAAAACGATTTTTGTTTTTTTGGCTTAAACGATGCTTTAATATCATAAGAATAAGTTAGCATTCGACTTACAGCGAAAAAAATTTTCTTTATCGACTTTGAGCATGTAACATAAGCCTACTTGTAGCGTGGCCGTGGAGTATCCGGGCGCGCCGCGTGACGACCTCGGATTTTCGGAGCTATACCATTAGAGAGCACTGGTTGTCTACCTGTACGAAAACATACCTATAGAGGATCATCTAATGCCAGTATGACCGTTGAAAGAACGCCATTCACTTGCTCTTCTACTTTTTGTGCGTGATTTTGTATTGTGCAAGTTGAAGCATTTTATGTGAGCAGCCGAAATGAGTGGCCAAAAAAAGGTTTATCAATCAAAGAAGGGGTCAAAATCAAATACTTGGTCTTCGTATAAGACCAATATTTCGAAGCGTAGACTGGTAAATCGATTCTTAGCAGAGGCAGATGCAGAAGGCGTGAGCGCGTTGGCCAAGAAACTACGACTGTCAACGAGTTCGCGTGATAATGACACTAACGCTAAATTCGGTAACAGATTTATAAATTTCGCAACTGTTATGAACGCAATTGCTGAAGTGGTTGTTTGCAAAACGTGCGGTCAAGATGTAAAAATCACTGAATCGGCCATGCGCGGTTTGGGTTTCAAGATCGTAATTTCTCGTAACCAGTGTGAGAAAACTGAAATACCTAATTGCCTTTATGTGAGAAATGGATATGAAATTAATCGCAGAATCACCTTAGCGATGCGATTATTAGCTGTAGGTTTGAATGGTATAAAAAAGTTTAGTGCCTTCATGGAATTGTCACGGCCGATATACCATTCCTTTTATGACAAACTTGTCGAAGCAATTGCTGTAGCAACGAAAACTGCGTACTGTGCGTAACTGTGCGTAGGAAAGCTGAAGAGGATGAAAATCTTGCCTTAGAAGGTTGACTTTATGGAGCTGGCATCGCAGACTAAAGGTAAACATTTTTTTTGATTCGATTCTTCAAGTTTAACAACAAAAAGTTATACGTCAAACATTAAACGCATTTTTCTCAAAACAGCTTTTTTCTAATTCGCGTGATAAATAACTTCGACAAATTTCTTCCGATTGACTTCAAATTTTTATATCATCTTTGTAATTGTATTTCGCAGAGAAGTACATACGGAATTTTTGATTAATTAAAAACTTTCCATTTTATGAGCAGTTTTATACGAAATTTTTCACTGGAAATTCACCCATTAACTTCAAATACCTGCCATTTTCGAAAAAATTAATATTTTTAAAATTCCATATGTACTTCTCTAGGTATTTTTATGTAGATTAACGAGAATTTTTTCGTTTTGTTCTAGGTTAAAAATTGTGAACGCCAAATGTCACGCCGTGGAACGCCTCGGAAAAAAGATGAAAAAAAGCAAATAGGAGTTGTCGGCCATTTCGCATAAGACAATGATTGAAGAAAACTATTTTTGTTACTTTGATACATACACTAAATGTACCTGTAATTAGTTCTGTAAATAAATTACTTTTTATACAACAAAAAAATTGTTGAATATGCAAATGATTTTATACTCGCTACCGTGGCCATACCCCTTAAAGAAAGAATAAAGTCTTTGTTAAATTTGATACAATAAAGTGTATCATTCTCACATCCCATTTCCAATACAATCGAAATCAATGTATTGAGTAAATGTTCGCATTCACTTGTATTGGGTTACCTCTAATAAGCCTCTTTCATCAATAGTGACGATCAGTATAAAACTCTATAGTTACCTTCCTAGGAAATAATGCTAGGCGCAGGCGTTGGTACCAATGGCGGCAAGGAACAGGCTTACTTGGCTTATACCGTCCACCCATATGGATCAGTGCGTCGTTCGCGATTATACAAGACACTTGAGGGTAACAACCCTTAATTACGTTTCGCAGTTGTTTCAAAGTTGTTTCAACGAGCAAACTTCCATTAGACAAATTCTTACTAATTCAATAAAATTGGAAGGGAACAAATATAAGAGAACAAGACATTATCCACGTGCCAGATATAAACAAATCAGACACTTTAATTAATTGTGCGCGTACTTGGGTGTAAATTAAAAAGTGATCATAAAGATAAATGTACACTTTGTATGTGTATACCTTAAATTAACTGATTTGATGAAGAAATCTGTGCAGTAAGAGAACTCCAATTTCTACAATACTTTCTGTGTACTATCTTCAGCGGCATAGTTACAACTTTATTGATTTCTATTTTGATCAGGTATGTTCGGTAGTCTATGTCGTATAACTTGTACTTTTAATGCGTACGTCATGATTTATTTACGAAGATACTATGATTTAATTTAATTAAAGATCTTCCCGAAACGATCGATTGGTTTTTGAAGTCGTTTAGAAAATAGGAATGTAAATGGAATACATAGTTTTATTTCTGCTGTTTTTAAGTTAAAGGAAAAAATTAATTTCCCGCGGTGGAAACTTTAAAAATATTACTCATCGTATTAATATGAAAAATGCAGTAAAATCTTCTTACCACAAATCCTTAAAACCGTTAACCCTTATGTCAATGACCGGGTACTCTTCTCCTCCTCTGCGTGTAAACTCTTTACATTTTCCGATCCGATATTGAAAAACGCCTCCCTGAATTTTATCTTGGGCTTCATTTTGTCATTTTAATGCAATAAAATATTTACCGTAATTAATATATTTTTTAGATACTTATCACACTAAAATATCCAGTTAAAAGAACTAGAATTTTGGATACTGTAACTGAATTTGATTGTTGTGCACTCATTATTTCTTTGGTTCAAAAAATCGGACGTTTTCTGTAAAATATTACGTACTTTTTCTGGTAAATTGAAAGAGAATTTCTGTTTAGAAGAAAAATAATTTTTCATTAGAAACTCATCCAGTAGTTTAAGAATTTGATGAAGATGACCATACGTTTTGTTTAATTGTACATTTTAGTTCAGATAACGATATTCAGATACGGTTGAATGTATACGATACGTAACATGTACGTATGCAAACTTCTACTGAATGTTAGTAAGATGTAAATCTCAACAAAAAATACTATTACGTCCGTAATAATAGGTTTTTAAGATTTTCACGTGGCCGAGCACGGTCTTTTCTTTGTAGCGCGTTTGCCAACAATGTACTTACAAGGAAACATTCCCAAGTGTCCGCCCCCGATCTTATTGATTTTCATATATGTTGAAGAACCCAAAAATCTAAGAGACACGTGTTTTTTTATATCTGCAATGGTTCACATTTAAGGGGTGAAACAACCCCCCAAAGTTTGGCGAAAATTCGATTTTTATAACAATTTTCGTAGAAGCAATGGAGGGATTTCGACGAAACTTGGTATAAACGTGTTGTGTATAAAGACGGTGAAAACACAATATTGTTCAGCAATGTTGCACCCCCTCAAGGAGATGAACTACCTTTCAAGCGACATTTTTTTGTAATATCTATTAAACAAGCATTCCTACTTAAGTTCCACTTACGCGATGTGATTGCTCACAAAAAATGAAGAAATACGTGTTTCTTGCTTTTTGCCAATAAACATTTACACATCGGTTATAAGCAATGAATGTAGGTGGTATACGGGTACATTTTGACTAGCTATATTGGATTATATCGTCACCAATTCAATGTACATAAATCTTGTGAACGTGCTTATTCCTCAAAATGTCCTTGGTTTTCATAGCATGCAATTATTTATAAATAAATTTAAAAAAAAGTTTAAGAGACCAAAATAGTTTCGCAACAGATCCGATGACCCAGTCATCATCCGTTTCCAAATAGTAATACAATCTCCTTGGTGAAACGGTAAAATTGGATTTTTACTGTTTTTACGATAACAGAGTTAGCGATATTCGTAAATAATTGCATATTATGAAAACCAACGACATTTTGAGGAATTAGCACGTTCACAAGATTTATGCACAATGAATTGATCACGATATAACCTAATAAAGCTCGGAATATACCCGTATACCACCTGCATGCATTGTTTACAACCGATGTGTAAATGTTTATTGGTAAAAAGCAAAAAAAACACGGATTCTTCATTTTTTGTGAGCAATCACATCGCGTAAGTGGAACTTAAGTAGAAGTGCTCGTTTATTAGATATTACAAAAAAATGTCGCCTGAAGGGTAGTTCACCCCCTTGGGGGGGTGTAGCATTGCTGGACAATATTGTGTTTTCACCGTTCTTATACGGAATATGTTTATACCAAGTTTCGTCGAAATCCCTCCACTGCTTCTACGAAAATTATTATAAAAACTGAATTTTCGCCAAACTTTGGGGGGTTGTTTCACCCCTTAAATGTGGATCATTGCAGATATAAAAAAACACGTCTCTCTTAGATTTTTGTGTTCTTCAACATATATGGAAATCAATAAGATCGGGGGCGAACACTTGGGAATGTTTCCTTGTTAGAATCTTCATTATTTGAGTATCGATTACAGAACCAAATCACGGCTCAGCGTTTGAAACGAAGGACAATTCCACGCTCTCAGCAAACGTCTTGATGATGATCGCGATGCATCGCGAGCATCTAATTACAATAAAGCAATTTAGTTCGTCTGCGACTAGTAACTCAGTAAGACAAAATTCCTTTTGGCGATATTCTTACAAATAAAGTTAAGATTTTATTTCCGCAGATTTGTGAGGCCAAATAAATCATAGCTGTTAGTAGCTGTGCGTTTATGCATGCAATGCAAGGAACAAACAACTTTAGTGTAAAAAAAGACAAGTTTATAGCCTGATGAAAATTTAACTTCAAAAAACACTAGAAACATTTCTAGAAAGAATTAGCTGTCATTCTTTTCAATTTTCAAAAAATTGTTTCTTGTATTCAATTTGCTAAAGTTACGAAATTAAGTGGTGCTGACAAGTTTAGAACATTTTAACAGGTGTGCCGATAATCTCTTAAAGTACCCGGTAAGAAGGCTGGAATTGATTCGAATTGAACATTTTTATTCCAGTGAATACCTAACTATTCCTTTGCCCTTTATTCCGCTGGCGATAAAAAAAAAAGGAAAATCACTGCGAAATATCAATTCACTGTGAAAAATAGAGGGGAACGGGATTTAAAGGAGTTCTAAAATACGAGAACCAGGGTAGAGCAAAGGAATATGAATTTCAATTTTCTCGGTGGAATTGAAACAAATTTTTTATTTACATGGAAGGAAAGAAAAAACGGAAAAAAAATCGATTTTTATTATTACGTACGTTATACGGGAGACCAAGGTCAATTATAACAATTCTTACGTTTTTATTTCTACAATTAATCGGAACAGTTTTTTATGATCGGTACTTGGTTCATATATTAAGAAAACCATCCCCTGAAAGACAGTTTACATTTGATTACTTCAAGATCCTATAAAAATCAGCAATTTTTACTTTCTTTACTAAATGTATTTATTACAATTGCAACCATTGCAGGGTACGGTTGTAACACTCGTCGGGGCAGATGGCGGTCGCTACTGATTAATACAAGAATACTCAAATAACTATAATTAGTAACTATGTTTTGATAAATACGCGTGAACACAACGAAAGTCACTTATTTAAAATACATATATAAATAAATAAATATAAATATTTCACATTTCTAATTAGTAATACATTTCGAACAGTAAAAGTAGAAATGATCCATCTTGTTTTCCGTTTTACTGATGCACTTTTCATGGAACCATTTCTTGCATTGATGGCACTGAATGCAGATTTCGCCCATTTTACTTTTAGTGATGTACAAGGCTACGTATATCCATTGGAGCTAATCCCATATATACATTTGCGGATTTACAAATACATTCACAAAAAGTCTGTTCATTTTCATAGGAAACTTTGTTATGGGGTTTGTAACCCATAATCATTTCCTTTAGACTTTTTACGTACCTGTTTCAAGTCACATGACAAATTTCGAAATCATTGACTACACTCCTGTTACGTCTGGGAGGGAACAAATGAATTGATTATTTTTATGAAGTAGATAAAGATGATTTATTTCACTCTATGGTTATAACAATTGGCTTGGAGTTTCTGGGGTCCCCTGGTACCAACGCCTGGGCGTTATCGCCGCTAGATTCGGGAACGTCTATGGGGATAAGTTCCCAATTGGGGGTACGGACTTCGACACTCGTGAGTCGATGAGGTTTGGGTCGAGGAACTGTCCTCGGAGTGGAGGTTTTGAGGGGCGCCCTAATGATTTCGAGGCGCTCCGGAGAAATTGATAAAACCCTCTCTGGAGGTGAACGGGGTGCTGCCGGAGATTGATCTTGGGCCTTTTTCCTCGATCCTCCGTGTGGACGCCTACGGGTTGTAAATTTAGGCCTACCCTCTGCTTTGGCGAAAGTTACAAGGAGTTGGTATTTTCTCCCGGATCGTCTGACCATCTGCGTGTTAGGTAATATAAGGCTTAATACTAATACGGTTGTATTATATAAATTAGAGGAGAAACTATACCAGGGCCCGGACTCCTTTTTATATTGGAGGATAATAGGAGTTAGATGAAGAAGGGAAGCTAGACCAAGCCCCGCGCCCTCTTATATCAAGGAGATAATAGGAATTGGATATTGTTGTTGTTTCTCCTTTCAAAAGGGACAAGAAAAGAAAAAGTTCGTATAAGTGTGAATGATTGATTTATTAAAACATAGAAAAAATATAGTACCTTGAATAATAAGAAGACTGGTTATTCTTCCTCGCTCGTACTTGTAAAAAACTGGAACTCTGCGAGATGTTCGTCGTCTATCGATAAACTGTTACTGAACTCAACTGAACACACTAAGTGAGGGTGCATAGGTGCGTCCCTTTTTATACTGTTCCTAAACTGCATTGTCTCAAAATTTTAGTAGAGGGAGGACACTGCCCTTAACTACATTATCCACTTCTATCAGTTTTCTTACTTGTTTTAACAATGTAGGTTCGAAGCCTTAAGTTGGGCTACCACTGGCCCGAGCCATCGTTGTCCTAGAGGATTAAGAACAAGGGATTCTCGTTCTTATCACCTTTCGCATGGTGACGGTTACCTATTTTGAGCACGTTGCTAACACGTGTTCGGTAGAAAATTGACAGACGAGCGAGGACGATATAACACGATATTAGTAACATAGTATTTGAGAAAAGTAATAATTACGACGCTTAAGTTAATTAATATATGTAGTTGGAAGGGTGACGTTACGTGGGACGTAACACTCCTCTGACTGTGACTTATATTCATAATTAAATTTGCAACACGTTTCATGATATCTTCAGATGGATTTCGGTTCGATATCTTTTTACGGACACGGGGCATATTCAAAGAATCTGCAAGAATTATATTGAATTTATCCGTGGAACGTAGATGAACGGGATCAAATGTCCCATGTTACATTTGTGACAGTCTGACTTGTTATAATTATCCCCGATGGCTCTTTTTCAAATAATTGACACATACAATTACAGCAACTGAGAGCCAGTTTACTTTCAAATGCATTAAACATATAATGAACATCTGTAGGTGCAATACTGTGTCATGATTAAAGCAGTTTAATCCATTCCGGATTTAATATAAATCGAAAATATTGCTAATAAAAATAGTACTAACCTATGCCGTATCACGAAAAATGAAAATAACAAGAGAACGCCTAATTTAACAAACATGAAACAACTGCAGGATATTCCTAATATCCATGGGAAGCTTCCACCGCTTAATCACGCTTTTTCAAGTTTGAATAAATATTTTATAACGTTTGTTACAATTGCCCCATGTTACATTTGAACTCGGCCTCCCGTACTTATGTTCCTGTAAGTGTTCTCTTATATTTCTACCTTAAGTAGCAAAATATCATTTGATGCTCAAAAGGGTGGTTTCTCGATGATAACTTTCCTTTTCCCTCTTCTTCGGGAAGGGATAGGATCATTATAACATAAACGTAAGATATAATAACGAGTCTTATATACAAACGAGCTGTCGGCATCGTCTGCGAGAAATCTGGCCATCTGATGGTTTTGTCGAAATTAATGGTGCCAAACCTTTGTTTCCGCAATTACACAAGCAAGTTTAGAATAACGTTGCAATGTGGAAAATCTTACTATAATTGTGGTTACAGCTACCAGGTAAACCTTCTATCTTATTGTACTTATTACAACCATTTCATATAGTTAATATTACCATTTCGTTTGATCACTACTGCACCTTTTAAGCGCAGCGCCATGCATACAGCATCTGTTGGCAAGGTTAAGTTCATCATTCCATGAGGGTAATTTCATTTGTGCGGTTTCATTTACCACAGTATTTTAATCACATCGCTATAATAATTGTAACCAAATTATTTTTTTCTGTGTACTGATAATACTGGAGTAACTGATTAATGCGTACATTGTAATGACAATTTTTTACAATTCTTTCCATTGATAGCGTCTTCTCACTTTCCATATAAAAAAATTTGAAATGTTACATTCATTTAATTATAACTTTTTAAAATGCATGAGGTTTGATCGAATCTATGTTTCGAATTCAGGAGAATACAATACATATGAAACCAATCTCAAATATTGGAATTCAACTACTTAATCCCTCAGGCATATAAAGTGGAATTGATTTAAATTAGAAATTACAAACTTATATTCCAAAAGAAGGTTTCAAGGCAATTTAATACACCATTTTTTGAAAGGTACTGGAGGGAATTAGGCATTCCTATAATGTGTTTCTTTTAACGAAATACAAAACATTTTAATACCGATATTTTTTGCCGAACTAGAAGGAATTAAAACAAGTCGAAATATATTCCTCATTACGGAAATAAACAAAAATCAGAGTACAGATAGTCCTCCTACAACGCGGTATCCTGTAACACGGTTTTGCTCTAAAATGCTAGAATAAATTGCGGGAACCCTCGTATAGCACTGCACCCTATAACACTGTTTCGCTCTAACACGATAAGAAAATTGCGAGAACCTTTGTACAACACTGTACTTCTACAGCACTGGATAACATGATTTTTGTTACACATATTTAAAAACTAAATTACCTTAAAATAATGACGGAAAAGAATAATAAACTATTGTGCCTTTACATGAAAATAATATTTCTTGTTTCTTTTTCGTTTTGTGTTATACATACATTTATATTTTTTATAAAAATTAAGTTGCTTATATGGAATTAAAAAAAAGTTTGTCTTGAATAGGTTTTCGGAACGTAATCCCCCCCTTTTGTACTGACTCTGAGTCTCATATAACAAGGTTTCACCCAACACGGCATTTTCTAGAAACCTATCTACTGTGTTACAGGAGGGTTACCTGTATACAAGGGCAATAGAATATAATTGTCCGCAGTTCCCTCTCCCGGGGCCTCCCTATTTACCCTGAAGTACCGCCGCGCATGCCTGAATTTGCGCTGAATTAATTGTCTCACAAGGGAACATTCCCAAGTGTCCGCCTCCGATCTTATTGAGTTTCATATATGTTGAAGGACACAAAAATCTAAGAGACATGTGTTTTTTTATATCTGCAATGGTCCACAATTAAGGGGTCAAACAACCCCCCAAAGTTTAGCAAAAAATCGGTTTCTTAAATATTTTTCGTTACAGCAGTGGAGGGATTTCGACGAAACTTTGCATAAACGTATCCTGTATAAGGACGGTGACAACACAATATTGTTCAGAAATGTTGCACCTCCTCAAGGGGGTGAACTACCCTTTAGGTGACATTTTTTTGTAATATCCATTAAACAAGCACTCCTACTTACGTTCCACTTACGCGATGTGATTGCTCACAAAAAATGAAGAAATACGTGTTTTCTGCTTTTTGCCAATAAACATTTACACATCGGTTGAAAATAATGAATGTAGGTGGTATTAGAGTATATCCCGACTACCTTTATTGGGGTATATCGTGACCAATTCATCGTACATAGTCGTGTCAACGTGGTAATTCTTCAAAATGTCATTGATTTTCATAACATGAAATTATTTATAAATAAATTAAAAAATAGTTTCAGAGGCTAAAATTGTTTCGCAACGGATTCGACGATACAGTCATCACCCGTTTCCAACTAGTAATACAATCTCAGTGGTGAAACGATAAAATTGGATTTTTACTGTTTTTACGAAAAAATAGAGTCAGCGATATTCGATACCTTAGGTACGAGAATAGTACATTGAAGAAGAGTATGCGTATAAATATTGGTTCTGAAATTGATCAACAGGAAGTTATAAGAGAATATTTTTTACATCTCTCTATAAAGCAGGAGATTATTTAATATTACTGATCATATTTATTACAGTAGTGGTATTCGTGGAAAAAGTGCTTTATACAAAATGCTTTTTTGCTCCAAGAACACCGTATCATTGCTGCTGCACCACAAACATTACATTTCATAACTGAACAGCTTTCAAAGGCAAAATTAACCGGGTTCGGAAAGTTTTCTAATCTTTCATCGATATAACCACTTTTATACCGTGCATATTGAAACAGACTTTTATATCTAGGAGAAGACAACTGATTATGCTCGAGTGATTGCAATTTTATGATATTATTCCGTAAATGAAGGTTAACGTCATAATTATGTAAAAGGACAATATCAGAAAAACGCCTCACAAAATTTTTCCATACTCGAAAACCACAGACATCTAAAGGTCGGATTCGACCCCTTGGAGTAGTTCCCTTTGGTATCATCATTGACACAATTTTTTTGTCGGCAGGTTTCGTTTTTTCAATTGTATCGCTGCAGTGTCCGCTCCAGGAGTCAAGCAGAAGAATGCTTTGTTGACCAATGTTCGGGTAGAGGACATCCTTCAACCACGTTTTAAAATGCTCTACAATTTTTTTAATCGCATTAATCATTATTAGTATACAAGTTAATAAATTAAAGGAATAAGTTCAAGGCGTCTTTACCTGAAGTTAGCTTGCCAGACTTCGAGGCCAAAGGAAAAATATTTTGTGGACGAAACAATGTTTTTTCCACGACCGGTCCGAATTGGCCACTTGCTTCTTTCAGCACTACCAACAGCGGTGATAGTAAACGTCCATCACACGAAATTATTGGTTGGATTGTGTAGCTATGTGTTGTCGACGAAATTGATTGCGCAACACATTCCACTTTTTTTTCCCTTCATATGATAATGTCCGTCCCGAATGAATTTCTAGCTGAAATCCACTTTGGTCGGAATTATACACATTTTCGGCCCCGTACTGCGCTATCAGTGGTCTTACACTGTCTAGAAATTCACTAGTTACTTTTTGTAAATTGGCGCCGTCTTCTAATGTCTTCCTTGTAATAAATTTCGTTATTTTTCGTGACACAATACGATGAGCTTTTTTAAAATTATATAACCATTTTGATGATGCTTTAAAACTCACGTCGTTGTTTGTCCGTTCTCTCCATGCTTCTGGAGACCATTTTTTGATATCTGCGTCATGTACTATAAAACCAACGTCAATAGCGTTTCGTAATTTGTTCAGCGTGAATGTAGAGACATATAGTAATTTTTATTTTCGACATCCTCCGTCATCCACTTGGTTGGCCCACCTTTTTAATTCACGAGCATAAGAAAGTTTCCTAAATCGTTGTTGGGCGGTGGTCAATTTGAGATTGCCGGACTTTCCACTTCTCCAGAATTCTACTGCTCTCTTTTTATAGTCGAAATTAACGGCGTTCACCACCAAAGTGGGGACGATGACTTCCACCGCTAGATGGCATTAGCATCGAATTCGGTGGGAGGTAACCAAAACGTACTTTCTCGCTCGGATGAGGGAGACGCGACGCATAGTGGGCGGTGTTTAGCAACGGGCGAAAAATGTGTGCGTATTTTGCATGTATAGGACTCATACAATGGCTAGACGGCTCTGGACTAGGCGCCGAAACGAGTGTGACCCCCGGCCGCCCGCACACGCCAGATGGACGCTCCGCCTAAAGTCGGCAACGGTTGCCAAGGAATGCCCAAAATCTTCGCGAGAAACTCGAAAATCCTGAAATAGGTGCTCCACGAGGACAACGATTTTGAGCGTATTTCTCAACCGATTGAGTTCGACGAGTGCTCATTTTAAACATAAAATGTTGACGTGTGTTTATATGGAAGCGATTTTCGATCAAGCACCTCCTTCCTAGTTAAAAGGGCATTCAAATTATGTCGTTGCACTTTTTTATATGAAAATGACCACTTATCGAAAATCGCTCCCATAAAAACACATGTCAACATTTCATCTTCGATATGAGCACTCGTTAAGCTCGATTGGTTTAGAAATACGTTCGGAATCGTTGTCCCCGTGAGGCCCTGCAAAATCACTGGAGTGGTGAGCGCCCTTAACCGCTGTGTCTTGGCAAACCAATGAAGACGGTTGTGGCATCGATTCGTCAGTCCACTCTTCTTCATCTTCAACTTACTCAACTTCCCGTGCTTGAAAAGGTTCATGAAAATCCATTGTTGAATCTTCAGTAATCTCAAACGAATTAAATTGGAATATACTATCCAAAAGAATCGTTTTAATAGATTCTTTTAAGAGTATTTCTTGTCGATTAACTTCCGTCTCCATTAAATACATAGTTTGAAACGTAGCTAACAAAAGGTAGATCACGTTTATAGGATTTATCATCATTATGCACAAATATATCGTAGCACGTCGACAAAATAATTTAACAAGGACGAAGTCCTGATCAGAACTGATCAGCATCGAATCCAGTGCAGACTTTATAAGAACGCACGTCGGCGTAGACGATTCCAAATTTGATTTGATTCAACGTACCACTCCCGTATCTTAGGTATCGAATATCGCTGACTCTATTTTTTTCATAAAAACAGTGAAAATCCAATTTTATCGTTTCACCACGGAGATTGTATTGCTAGTTGGAAATGGGTGATGACTGCATCGTCGAATCCTCTGCGAAACAATTTTAGCCTCTGAAACTATTTTTTAATTTATTTATAAATAATTGCATATTATGAAAATCAATGACATTCCACTGAACACCAAATCTAACAGTTACGTAACTTAAAACTAACAAATAACATAACATTTGTTACAATATAATAACCTAACAGTTACGTAACGTAGAGCTAACTAGTTACATGCCATTTGTTACAATGCAGTAACATAACAGTTACGTAACATGGAGCTAACAGGTTACATATCATTTGTTACTATCATATCTACATAAATCTAGCTTAACTTTGTTACTCTTATCTTACATTATGTTACTGTCCTGATATTACTGTGTATATGCAGCACATATTTGTAACAAAACAGAACCACATTGGTGCTGTCATCTATTTTATCACGTCATCGTCATCGTCATTGTCATAATTCATTGTCAAATGTCATAAGATTAATATATGTCATATTTTGTTTACTACTCGTATGAAAAAATGTGACTTTAATTCGTACGCGCATATACATTATCCAGTAATTGTTTGCTAGTCGAATGAAATCATAATAGTCTTTACGTAAAATCAGATAATTTATCATTACATCATTTCATTGAAAGTTTGATCTGTCATTTAATATCTAACTATTGTCAAGTACCAAAAAAATAATTANCGCGCGGGGTGCGGACGGCGCCAACCGTTGGCGCCGGTGACCCCCAAATGTAAACAGAGCGACCGAGGAGAGTCGTGTCGACTCTCGCTCGATCGCTTGAACATTCTCGTCACAATATATGAAACTCAATAAGATCGATGGCGGACACTTGGGAATGTTTCCTTGTAAGTAAGAAGAAATATGCAGACATCAATTAACATCTTCGATATAAAGAAAAGAGTAGACATTGTCACATTGTAGTGGCCTCCAAAAGGCAACGACGTGGGGGAGGGGCAGCTCCCACGCGACCAAGAGCCATCCGTAAACCTCCTCGTGGTGGGGCTGGATGCGGATCCCTATGGATCCGTAACAAAACGGCAAATGGCTACTGGGGAACCATGAGAGATGCTCGCTCTGCGGAGTTTGACCGCACTCTTGTTCCCCCTAGAGTTACCGGCGAAAGGTGGCCCTCATCATGGGAATACTTCTCGACCGGACGGCTGGAGGTGCTCCGGGTAACCCGTCCCGTGTCCTCGGTTTATCCGGGTGCGGGTTGGGGGCCGGCCCTACCGGCCGTAATAAGAAGGCCGGCGAGCTAGTACGGGCCGATAGGTGGGATAACCGATCCTATATTTGCCGGGTCAACTCGGCCGATGGATCGGGTTCCCACCCGACCTAGCCTGGAAAGCTCGTCAAACCACGCTGGAGCATTACGTCTCCGCACCACGCGGGTGCAGGGGAGGGACCTCCTCGAGGTTCCCCGCAGGCAACGGGTGGGGTCAAGCGGCCTCCCTTCGGGGAGTGCGTCGCGGAGGCCCTGTCCCGGCAAGCGCCTCCCCGGGGTTTGTACGATCGGTCCGGAGCATTCGGGTTTTTCCCGGCCCGTCCTGGGCCTTCGGGCCCCTTTGACGGTGGGGTTGCCAGGTGGGTGGATTCGTACGCCCCGAGAGGGGCGCCGATAGGAGGCGCAAGCCTCAGGTGCGGTCGGCCACTAGGCCGGTACTAGGATCTCTGTCACATTGTAGTCTTAACGAAAGTAATGCCAACGAAGTCTTCAAAAGTATTGACCGAGAAATATAGTATTACAAGAAACATTCCCAGAACATTTCGTTTCACATTTAACCTGAAAAGGTAATGCAATTACATGTTACATTAACTAATTACATATTACATATTATATTATATTAATTACATGCTTAAAGTGTGTCGTATATAAACAAAGATTCGAAATTTATTGGTACATATCAGGAATCAAAATTACAATTAACGACAGAATTTTTTGAACATTTCCTATCAGAGATTTTCAGCGGGATTCATACATTCTCGTCATTTCAATTTGTTGACGTCGACGATTACATTGTCATAGTCACGTACTCTGGTTTTAATTTCCTTTTTTCTGAACACTGAAATACGGACCGAAATTATTGATTAACGTATTGTTACGTTCGCAGCTAAGTATGCTGAGACGACCTTTCAATAAATGTAGTCTCCTAGTTGACGCGTTTCGATCAAATTTTATCACAAACTGAACGTCGTCGATTTTCGGATATTCCTTATTGTTTAACACGGTTACAATTGCTGAACAACGACCGAGTACTTATAGAGACATATTATCTGTTTATTAGATGATGTACCTCAACCGTATTTCCATTTTTACAGAATGCTATTTACGAATAGATGGTTCACGGTTTGGATTCATCTTGGAATTTATTGTGGAATGCTCGAATGTGCCCGACCACAGTTTGATACTTCAACGGATATGGGCTTAGTTCTGGTTCCAGCTGATGCAGAAGTTAATTCTGTTATATTCCGATTGCGTGCCACAGACCAGGACGCAGATTTTCCACTTGTTTTTGATACTACAGGTAATTATATGAAACCTAATTTCTGATATTTCCAATTTGTACAAAATGAGGCATTACACATCCCAAATTTATAAAGTGCATCATACAGTAATGGTTATAAAAATTGCAATACCTAGTAACAATGAGAATACATGCTCCGATTTAGCAAGAAAAAAGATCATTATGCCCGAGTAATAAATGACTAAAATTTCAATTATTGTAGTCAGACATTTTTTTTTTCCTTTCTGTATATTGAAACTGTTCAAACATGAACATCCATAATTTACTTCTCGTAATACTAATATTTCACTCTACTGATGTTCGTCCACTGGCGTCCAAAAGATTGATTCTCATTATTGCTTTCCACATTTAAGGGTACGCACTACACACTAACACTCAGGGTTAAGTCCTCTTCAGACGGCGGTGTAGATTGTCATTATCGAGGAACTGTAATACCTCGACGTTGGGATGGCGATGTAGACGATCTTCATGCTTCCCAGCAAATTGTTTAATCACTTCTTTAACAAAAAGGACCCTTAGATCTCTATGGAGGTCGGAATTGCTTACATACCAAGGGGCATCAACGATAGTTCTCAGTACTTTATTTTGCCACCTTTGGATAATCCTGATATTATTACCGCTTGTACATCCTCATATTTGGATACCATAAGTCCAGGTCGATTTGAGAACGTGGTTGTATATCAGTAATTTATTTTGTACTAACACTTTTGAGTGCCGTCCCACAAGCCAGTACATCTGGCGACATCGCTTTTCTTTTGCATTGCCGTTTGGGCTTTTTGTGCGTAACTGGGCGGACTCGAAGCTCTTTACGCTTCTTAGATTTTGGTAGAATCCATGCTGTTTCTCGGGCGACCAATTCTTCTTCTTCATACGAATTTATCGGACTATAGTTCTTGGGTGGTTGCAACTTTTCGATCGTACCTCGTAGGTTTTTAATTTCCTCATTTGCACGTCTGAGTGCCTCCTCAAGAGTTTTGATTTTTTCATCTCTCTCAGCTGTTATTGAGTATAGTAGGGTAATTTCATTTTTTTGAGCTCCAGATGTAAACATTGTGATAACCCGAACCACCTCGGCAGCCGGATACCACTCGCAAGCAATGATATATTATCAATACCAGAGCGCCCTTCGTACACTTTTTCACTGTCCGAGAGTCAAACTCAAACTAGAGTAAACCACTTAAGGCAGAATTCTCACCCACTGACTCGCGCTCGAGACAGACAGAGAATATTAAATCACAAAAGCGTTTCGTACTTCGCGAAACAGCCGAGATTCAAACATCAGAAATGATCGCACTTTGCGAAAGGAATTACTATATAAGGGTTCGTACATCGCGAAAACGGAACTTTAACGCGACGGCCGTATAAGACAGCATTCTTGATTTCGGGTCGACATGGCTTCCTGGTCCGTCCGAAGAGAGAAGTAGCAACGCGATTAATTCAAACAAAGGCCACTCACACGAGACTTTGGACAAACGATAATGAAACAGGCCGCTCACACGGAACTCGGCCGAATAAAATGAAATAGGCCGCTCAACAAAACAATGGCCGACTAGAATGCGAAAGGGTGGACGACGTGCCGCGTGGCCCGACGACAGGTTACCCGGTGAAAGTGCCAAACGGGAAAATGTAGTCAAAACTAATCACATCCTACTCTAATTACGGTACGCTCAAACCTCGGACTCGGCGGGTGCGGCGATGCTCCCTCGATGAAAGGGCCACCGGATGCGGCGATCCACCACAGGTAGCTGAATTAACGTTGAGGCAGCGATGGGTGGAAACTCTCGAAGGCAACGAATAAATTTGGATACACCCAAGCAGCTTGGTGCTCGAAGACCAAGAAGACCGGGTTCTCGCTTTGGTCCTCCGGGCAGGCTCGGTGCGGCTCCTCATCGACGGCTCGAAGTCCACTTTATTTTGTTACGTGGCGGCCGAGCGGAAGCGAGGCCGGGGAAATTCGGTTAGGGATTACCTGGATTTCGTGCGTAACGAATGTATTAATCTTGTGAGGACATTGACCCGAGCGGCTAGATAAACTCCTCTGGTGGGATCTATGGAAGTGAGGACTAGAAGAGCGTCTGAATGGATGGCAATCTGGGCTAGTGTGCTATGATTGTTGTATTTATTCGTCAGTGAGATTGAGTTTATAATCAGCTGGGAGGGGTACCCGAAGTGCCTTAACCTAATTTTCTCTGGGTTATTACACTTCCGCATCGCGGCGGTTCTGGTGTCGCGATAGCGCGCTTTAGCGGCGGTAGGTTACTGGACGCCCGGAGTGCTGACGCGGGGATTCTTTACTGTTAGAACAGCGAACTATTCGTGATTCTATTTTATCTCGCGACGCTGAGATTTCGAGCTCAGTTGTTCGAAGGATGTTGAAGAGTCTTATTCTATCCGGTTGATCGGAGCAAGGCATGGAATTCGCGATAATGATTAGTATTCGGTTTGGTCGAATATGGGGGTTAACAAGTAATGAAATGAAGATAAGTCAAGTTTGTGAAGGATTCTCTACCTGGCTTAATCAGCGGCCGAATTCGGTGACACTCTCCTTTGATCGACCCAGCCAAATGACTGCGCGTGGACACCTTCGTCCCGTGGCGTGCCCTAGAGTTGGAGGTCTCCTAGAAGCCCCTCATCCAACGGAAGTCGGAGTGCCGCCGTCTGTTCCTGACTCGGTGCCCTGGGATCGCTGGAGTACCGAATGGCTCTACTGCGGCTCGCAGGATAAATGATCTTCGACAGGGAGTCCAGCGGTCTCGGTCTTAGACTCGTTAGGAACGGAGTACAGAAGATCAGGAGCTTCACTAAAGGTCGTCGACGAACGTCGACGTTGACTACCTTGTGGCAACTTGAAAGACTAACTAACTAACTAATTGGAAGGCTAAAAGCGTCGCTGATTTGGTGGTTGTCCGTTTTATTGGCAGGTTGTTACAATTGGTGGGGGATCCTAGGGCCCAGGTGATGGTGGCGTTTCTGTGTCGTGCTGATGCGCTGTGTAATCATCAGATTGTTCGCTTCGGGTCAATCGATGCCTTTTAGAGTCGTCTTGGCCGATCAATTTGTCGTGTCAGGTAGCCTAGTTCTGCATCCTTTCGCAAGAGTTTCCTAATCGCGTTCCCGTACTCGGATTTCCACGGCTGGCTTCCGGTGATCGGAATATGTTTCTTCCTACATTAAGGTACTAAGGGTTCCTACGAAACAGTTTGGTCTCCGTCGGCTGCCAAGTGCGACCGCCCTGGGCTCTCATCGCACGCTAGGTTTGAAGTCACACCGGTAGTCCAATCGGGGCGCACGGATGACGCGTGACATCACCGGGAGTAGTGTTCAGGGGCGTAGCTCCTCGGGTATCCAGTGGCGCCGGTCCTGGGCTTTCTTGAGCCGAAGTTTTCCTCATGGTGTAACTTGAGGGCGCCGACATCCCCTGATGCGGCTGCTCCCGGGTAAGGAGATCGGTGGGCCCTTCCACCCTGGGGTCACCACGCCCTGGCTTCGACGCAGGGGGCGATGCAAATGAGACCCTGCGCCGTTGCCTTTATAGGGACTCCCTTGAGTGAAAGATCCTGAGAGTTGAGATCCTCCCTTGAGTGAGAGAAGGGGGGGGTCCAGGGCTCTGGAGACAGCGCCCTCCTTCTGCCAACGGTGAGGAGCCGGAAAACCGGGTGCGGACGCGATGAGTGACGACGCCGTCATGAGTCGGTCCTTGCCGTAAAGCGCGGGGCCTCGAGCGGTTCGGTACGGCCCTGCTCCCCGCGGCCCCGGTATCCGTGGACGGTAGCGGGGCGAGACTCCCTGGCCACTATCTTCTCTTTGCCCATGGTTCCTCGAAATGCCCTTGTCCCGCGACCGTTTTCCGGGATGTTGATTTCTGCGCTGTCTGCATTCGTCTCACCGCAAGGACGTCCTATCGTCTATGTTACACGCAACTTATGTACTACAAAAAATTAAGGTAGCGTAATTAATACTAAGCTCCCTCCGCTCCGCGGTCTCAGGCGCCGAGCATGCTGAAATGAAAAATAGATGAAATAAAATAATACCGAATTAAATACAATTTCACTGTCTTCGGCAATTATTTAATGCTATCTCCGAAATTAAATATAATATTTTATAATATTCTGCCCTTGTGACGATCACCCCCAGGATACATCGTTACAAGGAAGAAAGTTTTGAAAAACTTAATATCACATTTTCATCCCTAACTAGCGTCACAACAAAGATATGAGGTTGAAACTTGGCAAAAAATGTTTATTGATAGCAAGCTAACAGCTAATGTATGCAATATTTAATTTGGCCCACGGGCACTTTTCACATGCTTACCCGGCTACACCCTTTCCTATCATTGTTGAGTACTTGAGTTTCCCCATCACAACTAAAGTGGGATGTGTGGAAGGATTTCACTATAGGGTCAAGGTAGCTTGATTGGCGGAATATTTTCCCAGATATCAAGAGGCCCGGATCCGTATCCCGACGCAATCACCTGAATTTGTTGCCAATCTTACATGAATAAAATCTTGTTCCTCGAAGACTTGTATTATTGTTAAAGTATTGCATATAATTATTTTATTTGCAGCAACCATTTCACCAATTGTGCGCATTGAGAATTTACCGTGTACATTATACAACAAAGTATGTCAAGCTAATGTCATCTTAATTAAACGTCTGATTCCGGGTCGCTTGCACGATTTTGCTGTACGGGTTAAAGACGCAAAGGGCGACTCAAATTCAATGCAAGCAACAATTTCGGTAACAAATGCAACAACATCTCGACAGATGATATTTCCGCATATACCATCACTTATAATGGTACCTGAGGTAAGCAAAATAGTACCCAGTAGTAGAATAAGAAAAACGGAAGGTATTTGATATGCGTAGGCAAGTTATTAATGACATTTTTTTACATCTCGTGGTACACTATGTTAATCACCTTGTACTGAAATGATATCTCTTTATTATTTTCTATACAGATTTGTCCAGTTCAATTTGAAATCGAGCACTTGATTATTTGCAAAACCTACATTAATCATCAAAACCATTTAACCACAAATTGAGAATTCATAACCAATTAACCTTTTAGCTACTAAACGCCACTATAGTGGCTTTCGCGTATGTTAACTTTTCGAACGGTACGCCACTATAGTAGCTTTCGTGAATATCATGTTTTTTAAACAAAAAACATATTGTAGATAATTGGTATACCAGTCCGGCTTTATTCCCGTATGTCTACGACAATGCAACAAACGCGTGCGGTACTGTAAAACATCGAAGAAAGGACGTGCCTATTATGAACGAAAAATTGAAAGCAGGTGAAATATGTATTTGATCTTCGCCTAATCTGGTAGCTCTCAAATGGCAAGACAAACGCAAAGTATATATGCTGTCCACTTGCCACTCTGCAGATTTAGTAAACACGAAAAAATTAATTACCGGACGGAGCAAGTTTACCGAAAACCGTCTTGCACAGTGGACTATAGTACAAGTATGGACGCGATAGACAATAGGAATAAAGTAATAACTAATGTTGAATCCGTCAGGAAAAGTATTAAGTGGTATAAAAAACATTTTTTCCATTTACTTGATGTGACCATTTGTAATGCGTTTTGTTTATACAAGATGAAGATAAATAAATATTGACAATGGGCGCATTTTACCTTCAATTAATAAAAGAAATGGTAAAAAAATATAAGACTTTAGACAATAATTATAGCAATCGTAATAACTCTACTGCCGACCACCCATTAAAATTAAAAGTAAAACATTTCCCGTCATTTTGTAAAACTGTAAATACCAAAAAAATATTGCAAAACTGTGCAGTGTGCTAAAAAAATGATGTATGGAGAAGATCTCGATACGAACGTAAAGATTGTAATGTGGGACTTGTCGTCTCTTGCTTTAAAACGTATCACACACAATTATACTATTAACTAATAAGGTATACGTCATCATATTAGCTCATTGTGTATTTTTCGAACCTATTACATGAAAATGTATAAATAAATTATAATTTGTTCTCTTATAACTCTATTTTTCTCTAATGTCATAGTAAGAAGCGTCATGCATAGTTTACGCGCGGTCCGCGCTGAAGCTTGCCGTACAGAGATACAGTATTGCGGAAAGTTCAGACGTAGCTAAAAAGTTAATTTCACCAAGGAAGCAAAATAGAATATTGCTCCTGCAGATGAGAAATTTTTCTTTCTTCTACCTTAAGGTGAAGTGAAACACGTCGAGGAACTTGATCAACGTCGATAAAGAAGATTTTTCTCAATGCCTACGTTGCCGACGTTCGTTTTTACATTGACAGCTGTATCGAATTATATTGGGTATTGTCCCAAATGGCATACTCTACCTGTCGTTTTCGTATAATAATTATAAAGAAATCGAAGTAAAACTCCAGAAATCCTCTGGATTCATGCTTTCTGGGGCTCTAATTGACTGCAGTGGTACCTCCTGCGCCATCTGTGATTTCCAGGTCAATTAAATTTTCACTCCAAGACCTCGTATTACCATCGTTTTGGCATAGAAGCGCATACAACACTTTTTTTGCCTTTATCCCGTTCAAATGCGAGTTTATCAATTACCAGAGTGTTCTAAATTGTCGTAAAATTGTCCTGACCCTTTTGTTTCTCACATCAGAGCCTTCAATAATTGTATATTGATCGAAATATGAGAGCTCGACGCCATTTTGGTTCCTGTCTGGGCTAAGTTAAAACAATTTTTCCAGAAATTCAAAGTTTGAATGTGTCAGGACAATTCTTAGACGATCAGGAGTGATGTTTCAAAGTTTCGGACAGTTTGGTCTAATACCCTTAAAAAAAAGTGTTGTATTCGAATCGACTGATTTGAAGGGGGTTTCACTTCACCTTAATGCCAGTCCACTTTCAAAGTTTCGGACAGTTTGGTCTAATACCCTTAAAAAAAAGTGTTGTATTCGAATCGACTGATTTGAAGGGGGTTTCACTTCACCTTAATCGTCCGAAAGTGTTATGGGATACTGCAGCATCGAATGTCGCTTCACTATTCTTAATACTACATTACGAAGAAGTAATAAAAAAAAATCTTAAGAATAAAGTGACCAATATTCTGAATTTTCAGTACAACGTTTAATGGTTTAGAATACGTATGCATATACATATTGCTTATAATTACAGGACACGAAACCAGATGTAGAACTTGACTACCTTCTAGCCAATTCTAATCCATGGAGCGGTAAACCTGTTTACATTGAATTGTGGGTATGTTAAGGCGTTTCATATAATTTAATACGGATTGTGATTCATACGAATAATTCATAGTAACAATTTTGTGTATGTTACAGCAACCGAAAGACATGTTTACGATTAAGCAACGACAAACTCCTACGCAAACCCGAGGAATCATCACATTAATTGGTGAATTAGATTTTGAGACACAGTCAATGTACACGCTCACCATTTATGCCACGGTAAGTGACACATCAATCTATTAAAACGAGGCAGAAGGCATCGCGCGCCACCTGTCCGTTCCAGAATGTAATATCGCCGAAATAAAACGTGATCAATAAGGCAATAAACGATAAGACTATCTAGGGAGATATGAGATGTTGGCGAAAGTTGATTTGTGAAAGCTGACATGTTGGGGAGACCTTGCAAACCCGTCGCAATACTGCGATACCACGGAGGGAACTAATTTATATTCAACGCTGAGAGAAGTAGCAAGTAAAGAGATAGAAGAAACTGTTGAAGTAACTACGAGCAGTAATCCATGAGCAATTCTGAGCAGTTTAAATAAAGTTAATCTGGACATTCTTTCTCCAGCCAACTTGGTCTTCTGTGAGCACAAGTACTCCGCAAAAATGAAGGTATGCTATGACGTAGCAGAATTCTGCCGTCACAATTACGGGCGCCGCAGTGGCGGTAGGTACCGAATTTTTGTAAATAATTAACTACAGCATCGGCGGCGACTCTCGGTGTCATCATATGCAATCCCTAGACGTAAGTATGTGTTGTAAGTCATTCTTTTGTAGTAAGCATTGTTATCTAGGGTGTCTGGCATAAGATTTAATATAATGAGACATTGCCGCGACCGGCTCGAGTCGAGGAGGAGCATTCGGGTAAGGAGCCTCCATCTAACAAGCCCTGGGAACGATTTCGATGGAATTCGGCCGTTTAATTACTGCGCCGCGGTACTTTACGTGTCATCTGACATAAGCGTCTCTAAGGATCGACGTGTAGCGGTTTCGTCGGTGCGTGGCAGATTCGAGGAGGGGGTTTTCTGCATTTCGGAGTTTCTGCCGGTCCTTGGACTCATTGTCCAGGATATTTCGAGAGTCGCCGAAAGTGCCGAGAGTCGCTCCGCTGCCGTCCCGTTGCTACCTTACCGTTGTTGCCGCTTGCTGCCGTCTTGTTTCGGTTTCACGTCTAATTTGGCGAGCAAAACCACCTGGGGCTGTATAACGTTTATTTCCGGTCCATCTCATAAAATAAAGTGTAACCCGTAGATTCCTTCTCGACATACGACTCACATTCCGCCATTTTCCGAGCCGCGGGTCTGGAGAAATTAAGTAACCACGTAAATGGTATAATGTTGTGGCGGCTGTTTCGTTGTTTTAAGACCGGGACTCTTTTCCCGTGTGTACATACCATGTCTTGAGTCAGTGATCCCCTGGTCAAACGTTATCACCCCACCCGGCTCGAATTGGTCCCAAATTGTTGCGGGAGTCCGGACGGTGTTAGGTTTGGGCATAGTGCCCCTTTTCGGTTCTCTCGGGGTGCAGGGTGAAGTCTCTGGTGAGAAACCGTCTGCTACTCTTTATCATGCAGGACCGTGAATTATACTTGCCGTAGAGATACTGAAGTGAATTTGTGAAAGACAGAATAAAAGAGTTTTCGAGGGTAAATTTGATAAATTTGATCGTGATCTGTCTGATTTCAAAATTTTTGAATCCTTATCGAAACGAATTCTTATCGTCGCTCCGCTTCCCCCCCCCCCCCCGACACCTCTGTGCCACAAGCGACAACTTGGCTCCTTGCGGAGCTGAGTAGCCGGACATCCATTCTTTCCACGTTTTTTCCGGGAGCCGGGCTGAATACCTGACGACTTAAATAAATTTACGCGAGCCGTTCCTCGTATTGAATTTCTATCGCCCGGCCGAACTCGGAATTGGCACAGGAAAATTTCGCGGAACACCAGATTTACAGGGTGTGGTCTGCGTGACCCTAATTCCTGTCACAAATTTCTGGCGCTCAACATGGGGCGTTCTTGCAATAAATGTACTAAATTTTTTTGATACCATCTTATTTTGGAGCAATTATTTAGAAAATATTATCTTTGACTTGTAACGAGAACGAGAGAAAAGTTTAGCGCGAGTATGCGGAATATTGCCATGATTTTATAATGGTTAAAGCTGAGCATGGATTAAATTCTGAAATTTGATCCGGGAAATTCTGTTGCTGTTAACTACCGCCCCGGTTTTACATTGCCCGGACTTTTCTTTACAATTCACGGTACAGACTGATGACAGCACTATCGGTCTAGGAGCCATCCTTTCGTAAGAAAAGAAGAGAAATGGGTAATGGCGTACACGAGTAGGATGTTCAACGACACCGAGAGGGAGTATATCGTAACGGAACTAGAGTTCTTCACCGTAATTTTCGCGATTGATAAATAGCTACCTTATTCAGAAGGGTATCGTTTCTGTGTTGTAACCGATCATAGTAGTCTCCGTTGACGGAATAAGCTCAAAACCTTTTCCGGTCGTTTAGTTCGTCGGGCCTCGGCTCTTCAAGGGCATGATTATGAAATTATCTATCGTAAGGACAGTACAAACATGGTACCGGATGCCTTGTTGTGATCAGCGGAGGGTAATGTCGCCCTGATAGTCTGTGCCGTTGAGCCCGAGGTAGAGGACAGCGTCTTATGATACACCCAACAAGTCGCCGAGGTTACGAGTCAGTCCGGGAAATTTCCTGGTTGGCAGATTGAAAACGGTCACCCTTATTATCGACGGGCAGATCCTTTATTAAAACAACTGGCAGGAGACCTCGACCAATGAAAGTTTGGTATTGCCTCTGGGCTGACGGTTACGAGCTTTGCAGGAGGCCCATGATGACGTTCTGGCCGGACATTTAGGGGTAGATAAGACCTTTCGTCGTCTGGCCCGGGAGTACTTTTGGATCGGTCATTCCTGTGTTGTCATAACGTATGTTTGTCGGTGAGCGACTTGTCAGAGTGTAAGATGGAGCAACAGCGTCCCTCGGGATTATTTGGCTCTCCTGTGGTTTCTTAACCCTGGGTTATGGTAGCTGCCGACATAATGGGACCCTTTTCACCAAGTCGTCAGCAATTTTACTATCTATTGGTAATTCAAGACCTGTTTACCAAATGGGTGAAATGCAAGCCACTTAGGAAAGCTACCGGTGCTGCCATTGAAGAGGCTGTCGAGAATTTGGTATTTTGTCGTTGGGGAGTACCAAAAGTACTGCTCATCGACAATAATACTGAATTTCTAAATAATACCTTACAAGAATTTACCGCCTCTTATGGGTTCAAGTTTTGCTAAATCCCTTCATATCATGCCCAAACTAACCCCGTAGAGAGGGTCAATCGAATATTAAAATCCATGTTGGTATCATATTTCAGAGGTAACTGAGATCGGGACTTACACCTTTCCGCTCTACGATTCGCATATAACACGGCGCATCATAGTATTTTTGGTACTAATCCTGCTTTCTTAAACTTTGGGCGTAATCAACTCCCGTTGCGATCGTATAGTCAAAGCTTAGAAAATCATTATGAAGTTACAATTCATATGGAGCCTCGATAATGGTAACGGCGTTGAGAATCTTTGAAGACTCTACAGACATGGGTCCGTATTAATTTAGAAGAATTTCGACAGCGAAAGGTGTATTACTATAATCCGACACGTACGAATCGTGTGTTTACCTTAGGCAATCTTATGTGGCGCCAACAGCGTATATTATCCTTGGCCGCAAATTACGTTGTTGCGAAGCTGGTACCGAGTTTTGTGGGTCCGTGTCGAGTGACTCGAGTTATTTTACCCGTCGTATATGAACTGTGCGATTTATCAGGAGGAGGTGGACGAAACTGTCATTTGTCCGATTTTAAATCAGTAGAAGCTTGAGCTGTCAGGATGAAATGAACTCCTGGTCTGGCGACTGGTGACGATATCTCTTACCCAAGATTGTCTTCCTTATTCCTGGTCGCCGCGTGACCGATACGTCGAGAGACGCCGTCGAAGCTACTACCGGAGATCATAGCGCGTTCCGTTCCTGCTGACGTTTTTGGTTCGGTGATCAGCCCACTCATCAACTCCTGCCGGGCACTAGTAAAGCACTGCCATGGGATAGGTGATCTCTTTCAGGATCGGCGAGGGAAACTTTTGGCTGGCCTGCGATGCGAATTAGCCTCGTCAGACTGTGGTCAGTTACGGAGGTTCCTGAAGACCCAATGTCCATGGGGGATGGAAATCCTGCAACGATTGGGGGTCAAGGAGCCAACGAACCACCAAAGGACACTCCGGATCTGGAACAGCCATCGGCCAGCGAAAGCCAGGGCCTGCCCCTGACAAGGGATGAGACCCAATACTCTCTCCGACTCCGGGTCAGAGGAAACCGCCATCTAGGTGATGCATAACGCTGATGAGGATCCAGCACCAACCCAGACCCCTCCGAAAACCAGCAACCAAATTCTTTCAAAGATAGTGCTGAAGACGTATTTCCGGGTTAACTAGGAATACTGTCAATTCGATTGGTCACTTAACGGCAACGGTCCCGCGGCAATGGGCAAGGTTACTTCCGCTACGAGCGAGAGGGGGGGGACCTCTCCACCCGTGACTACCGACGTTCTGCACCCAGACGGCCGAAACATATGTTGGAATTGTTAACACGAGGGCCACCGCTACTCCGACTGTACAGAGAGGCGCCGCCGGTTTCGCTACGGATGTGGAGCTCAGGGCGAATATCGGGGAAGCTGCCCCCGCTGCAGAGACACCTACTGGTAGGAGCTCCGCCATAAGATTAGCGCCGTGCGCACTTCTGCCCCTTAGTCATGACGAGGGATTGAGGTCGCACTGCATTGGCCGAACGTTCACCCCGTTGAAGGTTCCCCGTCAACCAGTCTTATAATAGACCTTAAGGATCCACTTGGCCGCACACAGGAAAATAGTACGAAACTGTTGTTATTTTGTTCTGTTCTATTCTGTGCCAGTTCCAAGTTATTGTTATTGTTTCGGATTGATTATTCAACTTCCGGGTATCGAGCCAAACTTTAAAGAGTATGCTAACTGTACAATTACTCCTACCCATTCCCCTCGTATACTACCGCTACCATTTTGTTATTTTTGTTTGTCAGAGCGAAAATGAGCATTCATCTCTCAAGTACAGGTGCAGCGAGGGTTTCGACCGATAGCCCCTGTGTCCTGCGGCTTCCCCGAGGAGGGAGGAGTATATGACGTTACATGATTCTGCCGCCACAATTACGGGCGCAGCGGTGACGGTAAGTACCGTATTTTTGTAAATAATTAACTGCAGCAGATTTCCGGATCATCATGAGCAATTCCTAGTTGTAAGTATGAATTGTAAATAATTGATTTGCAGTAAGCACTGTTATCCAAGGTGTGTAGTATAAGATTTAATATGACGATTCTGCCACGACCGGTTCGAGTCGAGGCGGAGCATTCGAGTAAGGAGTCTCCATCTAGCGAGCCCTAGGAGCGATTTTGATGGAATTTGGCCATTTAATTACCGCGCCGCAATACTTTTGATAACATCTGGCATAAGCGCTTCTAATTGTAAGTGTCGACGCGTAGTGGCTTCGTCGGCGCGTGGCAGATTCGAGGAGGGGGTTTTCCGCATTTCGGCGGTCTTGCCGATCCTCGGACTCATCGTCCAGGTATTTTTTCGGACGTCGCCGAAAGTGCCTTATCGTTGCTGCAGCCTTGTCCTGTTCTACGTCTAATTTGGTGAGCAAACCCAACTGCGGTTGTATAAAGTTTATGAAATAAAGTGTAACCCGTAGATTCCTCCATGGCACACGACCCATCATTTTCCGTGTCGAGGGTTCTGGAAAATGACGTAACTGCGTAAATGGTATAAGTGTCGTCGCGGCCGTTTTGTCGTTTTAGGACCGGCTCTTTTACCTAGTGTGTATACCGTGCGCTTGCCTTAAGTCAGTGATCCCCTGGTTAAACGTTATCAACCCGCCCGGTCCAAATTGGTCCCAAATTGTCGCGGGAGTCCGGGCGGGGTTAGGTTTGAGCCGTGTCGAATTATGTTGGGTATTGTACTAATTGATATACTCCATATGTCGTTTCCGTACAATAATTATGAAGAAATCGAAGTAAAACACCAGAAATCTCTTGAATTCGTGGTTTTTAATGCCCTGTTACGTCCCACGTAACTCAACCCTTTCAATTATATATATTATATAAATTAAGCGTCATAATTACTATTTTATTAAATACTATCTTAATTCGATATTATTATAGTGTTATATCGTCTTCGCTCGTCTCTCTATTTTCTTCCGAACATACGTTAGTAACGTCCTCAAAATAGGTAACCGTCATCAAGCGAAAAGTGATACGAACGAGAGTTCCTTGTTCTTAATCCTCTAGGAGAACGATGATCCGGGCCAGTGGTAGCCCAACTCAGGGTTCCAAGTACACATTGTTAGTACACGTAAGAAAACTCATAAAAGTGGACAATGTTAAGTTCAGGGCAGTGTCCTCCCTCTACCAAAATTTTGAGACAACGCACCTCAAGAATAGTATAAAAAGGGACGCACCTGTGCTCCCAGGTCAGCAGTCAGCAAAGGAGTCGACTCGGAAGGTGTCCTGGCGGATTCCGAGGACTCGTAAGTTTTAGAGTTATGCGTAGCCTCTCGTAGGGACCTGGTGGGCTTCTGGAGTTTACTGATCTGCTTTTGGAGTTCCCTGATTATAATTTGACCTACTACCACTGACCGTCTTATCGCGTCACCCGAAGCTTCGCAACGCAGAACGAAACCGAAACCGTAAGAATTAGACTCGCGGGTCCCGACGGATCCTTATGATTTATAGAAATTCTACTTGACAAGAGGCAAATACAGTCATCCTCGTCAACTTATTAACAATCTGCATTTATTGAGTCCCACTTCAGTTCCCCATTCCTATAAATTCCAACAGAGGATTTGGTCAAGCCGCTCGGATCATTTCCTCGCAACAATATTTAAAACGGTACGTGAGCGTATGAGGTAAGACCTCTTTAGGCAAAACCCAAGTATTTCCCCGGACCTCGCATTCCCTCAGCTGCTATGTAACAGCGTCGTGATCTGGGTTGGTCCTCGCATTTCGTTCTTTGTATCATCTGTTTCGAGTCCCACCTCTTCGAGTCTGAGGGCGAGGTTGGCTTTTCGCAGTTCCTAGATCCAGCTTGTCGCCATCTTGTCGACTACCGCTCGCAATTACGTTAAAAAAAAAATCCGTTACTTTCTCGCGTCTTCGCACCTTACAGCTACTATATGGTAGATCGAGTAGCCGCGTCTCCACCTAAACACTATCCTGGCAGGATCGCCATGTAACGGTAGGCCGTTGGTGCCACAGGTTAGGTGACGCCCCGTATGCCACGGTCTACGTTCGGTTTTCTTCCCGAGACAGTAGCCGCTCGGAGCGTTTGACGTGCGCGGCTAGAGTCTGGATGGAGTAATTCAGTCAATGCGTAACCGTAACAAAATTTATTGAAAGGGGTGCCGCCAAAATCTCCGTTGTGGAGCTACAAAAGGAAAGACTAATTCGTACTTTAGTATTGGCTCGTCATTCCTCAAGTGGAATGACGTTTCAAAATGGGGATGCTTCAAAATGGAAACCTTGTCGGCGCCACGGCGCGACTGTTCGCGTTACTCGTGACCCTGCTAGTGCGCAGCGGGTCGCGCGTGTCCTGGCGTTGTGCGGTGCGCGGCGACTTGTACTCGTCGTGTTGCCCTAGCCCTGGTGTTGAGCAATGCGGCTCGTCACAAGTAAATAAAATGTATTTAGAACGGCTAGTAGTTCTTACAAACCCGACACCTCCAGCCATCCGTCCTCCGAGCCGAGAGTTCTCCGACGCTAGGTTGGCAATACGTTGCCCCATTTGTGACGGCATTCCTCCCACCGAAATGCACAACAACATCTCCCCGGAGCAGTGGAGGCGCCTCGCCGGAGCATGGCAACGTCCTCTGAGGCCTGTAACTGTGGGGCCTCGCCCAAAACTTACCAAGAAGAAATGACCACAAGGTAGTTGGGATCAATCCACCGTACAAAGCAATATATTTTTCGGACTTCCACCCCTGATTCACAGTTACAAAAGTGTTTATCCTAGGGACGCCCGAAAAAAAAAACAAAAGAAGAACGAAAAGCAGATAGCGCCGTATGGGGTGTTCGGCGCGCGGGATTCTTATTGTGCCCCTCGGAGGCGCCCGAGAGCCCGCTAGTCTAACCTGCTAAGACAAGGGCCGCTCGGATAGGCTAAAAACAATATTATTTCCCTCCTCTAGTGACCAACCCAACGTGCGGAGCGCGCGCAGTGCGTCGGAGGGTTGTTCCACGCTCGGATATCTGGAAGGAACAAAAAAGGAAAAATGGAATTAAAAGAAAACTTTTGAAGGGGGCGATTGCCGGGGCGAGAAAATGTCCCCGGTGTAACTGTGGAGGGGGCTCGACACCCGGTGGATATGGTCCGGCAAGAGGTGGAGAAGCCTTCTTAAAGTGGGATACCCGATTTAGTCGGTATCGCGAAAAAGACAAAAAAAAACAAAAAGGGCATGGGCCCAAAAAACAATCTTTTCACCGTAGATCGACAGCCCGAGAGTGTGATTAGCGTGTCAATCCCTACGGCGGCGAGGGCAATAGGAATGTTATCGAGGAACCGGAACTCCTCGGGACGCGCGACCCGGAAGGTATTAAAATAAAAGGGGTTGGTGTTTGAGATAACAAAAGGTGAAAGGGATGGGGAACAATTGCCCGTAGAAACTATCCCGAGCGTACGCATAAAAATGAAAAGGACTGTAGGGACTAAGCGTGAATCGGTTCGCGAGGATCGTAGGACTGTAGGAACCATATGTGGGTCCCCAGTCCCACGGAAAGAAATTAAGGTAAATATAAATAGATTATAACGACGGGAGAACTAAACAGGAAGGTGCTCTGGCCCGACGAGGTTGTGGTCGCCCTGGAACGCTTGGCGATGGGTGTACCTAATCCGTCGGGATTCATTTGTCGCCCCCTCGTCTGTCCGTTCCGGTCAACCTCGTCCTTTTGAAGCGTGTAGGTACGTCTGGATAAAAGGGACGAGAAGCAAAAGAAAACGAGGTTACATTTAACACTTTGCACTCGGTTGTCCCCTCTGAGGGGACATTTAAGTCTAGATGGGACGGCGCCAAGTGCAAAGGGTTATAAGCATCCAGTGGGACATTCAAGGGTCGGGGGATTGTAGGGTTTGAGGTTTTCCACGTGCATCTTACCTATCAATTTCCCATCCAAGGAACTTACTTCAAACAGCAGATCAGACATACGATTGATTATTCTAAAGGGACTGTGGTACTTTGGAGCGAGCTTTGCGGCGATATGTTGCGCGACTGCGGATAAAACAAATTGTCTTTTCAGGACTATATCTCCTACTTTGAATTGGTTCTTCCATCTCCCTGCAATATAATAAATGTTAAATTTTATTGTTTCATTGGTTAATTGAGCCCTGTCCTTAATTAACCCTTTACGGTCGTATTTACCCACGATCAAGAGAACTTTGGTGGCTGAGAGTAGATATCCGACCGCAAAGGGTTAAAGAACCCGCTCCTTTTTAGTCATTGAAGGCATTACTGGATTTTGCATTATTGTTCACGGGATTTGCGAGATATTGCTGAGGCCAATAGAAGTTGGCCAGTTATTTATACTTGAGGTGATCTATTAGGGGTACCCAAAAGTAATCAATTATTTAGAAAGAGGAGTTTTAGACGTAAAACAAAATGATTACTTATGGGTACCCCTAATATTTCGGTTGTAAGGAATCTCGATTACCTGTCGAATAAAGTACTAGGTTAGTTGGCAGTACCGAGTACTTGGTGTCAAAAAGTGTGAATTTCATCGCTTTGACTTTCATCGAGCCCCGATTTAGTTTTTTTTTCTATAGCCACTGACTCGATCGCGTTGTCCGGACCCAAGGTTAGGCGTTCAGCGTCATTCAGAAGAAACGAACTCTCAGATGTATAGTCGCAATGTTCATTAATCTGTATCTTCTTCCATAAGTGTAACCTACATTTTTTTTTACAGGACCCGTATACGCAGCCTGGGAAGGATACAAGGAACATTGCAGGATTATACATTGCTGTAATTGTTCAAGATATTCAAGATGTACCCCCTATTTTTACTCTTGCCCCACCATTGACAAAGATCAATAACACAGTTCAACCGGTAAGAATACCTTACGCACATCACAAAAGTTATTGTTACGCATTAACGTATATAACACAATTCATGCAATGTCGTGAAATTCAGTAGAGTTTAATTCCTAGCACATTCGTGCACATAAAACGTCATTTGAGTGGCAAGAAAGTCCGCGTAAACACAGTTGCAGACAATTGAAAGAAGTAAATAATAAATAGCGACTTTCAGTTTGTATTGTGCATACTGCTTGAAATATTAAGTATCGTCAGCATTTCGCTCTGCCCGATGAACTTTCAATACACACTTTAGAAACTGATTTCACTACAATTCACGTCAGAGTGTAATTTTTCTACTGTTAAGGGTGACGTAATTTTGCGTGTACACGCAGAAGATGGAGACAAAGGTGTACCACGAGAAATCGTTTATGGCCTTGTTTCTGATGGGAATCCGTTCGCTCCATTATTCAACATATCAGAAAATACAGGTATGCGAATATGGAATAACATTTGATTATTTTAATTCCATTCGGTTTAATTAATCATATTCTTATTTAAGCCTGTTATGTTTCGGAAAAACTGAATTTTTACCAAACAGTTTAGCAGTCAATGTATTTTATTAAAAAGAATGTTTTGAATTCCATAATAATTTTAATTCCTATGAGAACGCATCGGTTATTATAATAATTGAAAGACATTAACATTTTATCAAAGAACTATTTACAGAATAAAATAAAAATATTTCATTTCACGTCCGAAAAACGATGATGCTTTCCAAGCAGCAGTATATCGTCATAATGATGTTATTTTTGTTAGAAGGCTACCCAATTTTCCTCAAAATAGAATGGCGCGCATTCTGTTAAATATGAGTCAGTTACCGGAAGATAAATATCGAATCCAAAGCAACGACAGTATCGTCAGATTAAACCGAAAAAATAACAACAAGTGGAACAGTCATCGAGGAATGTTTTGGTTTATTCGCACGCCTCCCGCATCGAACTGCACTCTGGATCAAAACACGGACCTACTCTTCCGTCAACATAGTGACTACCTCAGCACGTCCGATCAAGCTTCTAACAACAAAATTCAAAAACAAGGAAATCGGACCCTGTCCTCACGAGCATCTCAAAGATAAGATCTCGTATAAAAGCGGTACCGAAAAGCAGCAGTCTATCAGTGAGTCTATAGAAGAGTTTAAGACAGCGTACAGAGCAGTCTCAGGAGCGAGGCTGGAGCTCTCTGAAGAGCTGATCGTACCGTAGTAACAGTTGTGCGTTTCGGTACTCCGACATCCACAAGCTAACAGTGAGAAGAACGACGGTGCTCCGAATTCCGGACCAGCGGGAGAATCTTAGGAAGCTCCAACCCTAGGTCACGCCCCGGTTTGAAGGCGTTCACGTGCAGTTCATCGCAACCGGCAGGACGTAAGAGAGACGTCACCGGAAGTAAAAGCCTCTGCGAAGCCAAGGTACAGGTCCTCTTCGAAGAGTTCCACTCTTCCACTCGTCCACTCTTCCACTCGTTTACTCTTTTATCACTCTATTTCGAACCCTATTCCAAATTACTAACCCGCGGTAGAATTCGGTATCTACCTTCTGGTAACAACTATCAAATTCTAACTCTTCAAGTATGAATCGCAACTCATTAGCCGCCCTTGCTGAGAAAGGCAAAGCGCACCTTGCAAGCAAAGAATTCCGCGTCAGCATTCCGCAATTGATACGCGGACGTATCTCGATTACACTTGCGCGAGGCGCTAGCGCGCGACCTACAACGTCCTTGTCTCGACTCGCTACGATCTGCTTAGCGCAGCACATCCACCAGGAGTCTTGGTGGCTAGAGTTTGATTCGTGGTTGTAATGGCTTCGGACTCCTCCATGTCCTGTAGATGCTGGTCTAGCCATCTTTGTAGTCTCCGATACTGGCCTACTCGGGAGTGGAGTTGTACCCAAATACGGTGGGGGTTCGTGAAGTTGCTGGCCCGTACCAACTTGTCCTTGAGCGATTCCACTGGTATGACTGGGATGGTGGTTGTTTCCATCTGGCGGGTGAAATTTTAGGTAAGGGTAAAGATGTAGCGAGATTGAATGAATTTGTAGGGCTGGGACAGGGTAAAACTTTGGTTGTTACTCTTTTCTAATGACCTAGCTCGTGGTTTTGTCGTGGTGGTAGTAGTTTCCTTTTTACAGGATTATGATGGAATTATTGACCTTACTGTTTGTTTTATTCTTAGTATTTGTGATAGTGAAAGGAGGATAATAATGTCATGTATGAGATGATGTGGTTTCGAAAAATTTTCCTTTTGTTCAGTACTAGTTAGATGTATGATCTGCGGACCCACGCAATCTTATAGTTGACCCTTACCTATACCCTTAAAATTACCTTACTTTCTATTATAATCGATAACAGCCCAGTCCATTCGCTGATCCCGTTCTAATAATCTGTGCTTTCATATTAGGACTGAAAAATAAAATTAGCATCTATGCACGGGTGGTTCCTCCGAATTGCCTGATTACATTTTTACAAGGTTCCTTTTGTTATCTTAAATATCGATGGACCTAATTATGATTTCTGCCCTGCTTCGAAGTCGCAGCATGTTACATCCAGGTACTCACCGATACAGTCACGGCATTCCTCCGCTGGCTTCATCTGCAGGACGGGCTGTGGGTATCGGCTGCACACCGTGGGGGTCTCTTTCTGATGAGGCTGTGCCAGGTGGTCCAGATGAATTCTCCTCGATCTGGTTCCAATGTTGGATGATTGTAACACGTCTCGCAGATTCGCTCCGTTCGTTGCGGATTCCACCAGACGGCACTGTGTTCCGACTTCAGGCATATCAGCTGGTACAATGGTCCATAGGTATTCTGGTATTGGGCGGGTATGACCCCGTCGGCCTCTCGGTTGTTGATCGACTTCTTGTGATGCTGCAGTCCATGGACAACCGGCATTTTGATCTCTGCGTTTCAAAACCCTTGATTTATGTTATACTCCTCCCGTTTTCGTTAAGGGTGGAGGGTAAAGAACGAAGGGCTCTTTGTTCCGCTCCCATGGGCGTGGAGTTGTTCGGTTCGAACCTCCCTGGGTTCTATCATGGTGTATAGGGTTTCTTCCTCAGTTGGCGCTACCGGTTCTAATTGTATTCCATCGGCCGGTGATGTGCAATTGTTCCTAGGAGAGGGCTTTGGGGGTTTCCTGCGTGGTACTATTAAAAGGTGGGTGACTGAGTCCCACACACCTCCAAGGAGGTAGATTGACCACCCGTAGATGGTGTAGAGCGCATACCCGTGTATAATCGTGTCAATTATTAATTTGACTATCTTTAAAACGACAAAGACGCCAACTATTCCCGCACTTATGTTCCCGAATTTTGTAAAGTTATCCCATGTTTTGATCCAGGCAGATTCAACAATTTTAGTCAGGGTACTCTCATCTAATAAATTGGATATGGACTCTCCAGTGAATGTTGTCGCCTGTCCCGTCATCCCTCTTGCTAAATCGTTTAAAACCGCCAATCTTTCGGCGGGAAACATGACGTAGTCCCTGAGGTCTTCCAATTCGGCTTCTGAATATATGCCGCTCGTGGCTAACGATCTTGGGCTTTTGTAGGTCCATGTGGGCGCAGTACTCGGCATGATGACCGTTGGTGGTAGTGCCTCCGTAACCTGTGGCGTTATTTTGTACCATAGGTCGCCTATTAGGTACATGGGTGGTACCAATCGGTTGCACGTCACTTGGAGTCCAATCCTTAGGAGGATATGGGTCCTCGATGTTAGAAATAGTGTGGCGTTGCCCATCTATACTGGTAGTTCGTGGTAGCAGCGGGGGGTCTGGAACAATTTTACTTCTACTGGTACGCATTTGATGATTGCACGACTTCTTTTGCCACTAGTGCCATGTGGGCAGATCCCTTCATTAATCTAAATGCGAATTCGTCGGGTGCTTGTGTGGCTATAGCTAAGGAATTTTTCAGCATTTGTCTTTCCAGATTGCAGTATTGGGTTAATACGTCCTAGTGGAGATGTTGGACATGTGTGCGGATGTGTTTTTCAACGAAAATGAATTTCGAATTCACATTGGTGAGGATGCCTAAATTGACCGTCTCAATCTGTGTACGCGGGATTGAAACTTCCCCTTTTCGAATATTAATAATTTGGGATGTTCGGTCCTGGTCAGGGTATATTCACAACCCTTAAGATCTGATTTGGCTGTCAAGGCGAAGGTGACGTCGCTGCTCATTAGTGACTATACTGTTTGGTTGGTTTTCTGGTCGCTGTTAGTCATCTTTTCGACCGGCCCCTCATATAATGCTCCACACTACTTAAACGAGCAAGCGTCAGCAGATACTGGGTCCCAAAAGGTGTATTTTCCTTCGAAGTAGGTTCATCGGGTCTTGGATTTTCACATACCGCTTCTGAATTTAAATGCAACTTGTTTGTGTCGTGGTTCACTCTGGCTATGTAGTCCCTGAAGATGACCTTTATATTACTGACTACGGTAACTCCGGTCCAACTTCCGTACGGGTCTGAGTACGCTCCGCCCTCACAGTTACCGTTTCCACCTAGTGTTCCGGCCAGAAGAGTGGGTCTGGATATGGTCTGGTTGGGGAAGATCCCGTATATAATGGTTCTTCCTGTTATGTGCATTCCCGTAGTGGTGCATATCTAAACAGCTGTCCCTTGACACGCCCTCCACGTAGGCGTGTTTCCCGTTCGGGACATAGATGGAGTGGGAAAACATGCCGCATTTCCTGATGAGTCGATCTATTTCCACCTTGCACTGCTTGATCTGGACTGTGAAGAATTTGTTGATATGCAGGAGCTGTACGCGTATGCGGACGTCCTTGACTTCTCGTTTGTGGAAGTTACATTCCCCGACGTCTAGCAGAGACATGATAGTAATGTTGGATGAGCGGGATCCGCAGTCATATCCTATTAGGGCGAAGGTAGTCGGCATGACTCCAATCAGCCCAACGGTCAGCAGGGTGGTGATGGTGGACCTACTACTCGATGCTTTCATCTGAAAAGTAAACGCGAATTTAGCGCTCCTGGTGTTTCAGGTGAGAGCGTCGTAATCTATTAGGGTGCACGACTTTCGAGGTTTTCTTGATTTTGTTCCGAACATTCCCTTTGCCTAGTATCTCTAGTATTTCACGCGGACCGGTATAATGGTCGTCAACCTTCTCTGGTTTAGGCCCTCTTAGTAAGAAAACGAAATCTCCTACTTTGAACGTCTGGGGGTTTATTTTCCGATCATGATATTTCTTGGAAGTGTATTTGGCCTTTATTAACACGTTGAGTGCCACGCGGTTTTATAACGACTTCCCGGTCAGGCCACGCGCGCTGGTATCGTGGTACAACAATGCGAAGGGCAATACTACCAAATAGAATTTACTCGATGCAAATGTTTACATATTAGGGCCATTGTTTCTTATCGTAGTGGAAGATATTTCTGTTTGAAAGGGAATGCTTATATGGACATTCATCCAACACGT